ACCCTAAACCCTAAACCGCAGGAACCTGATTATGAACGCTGGTCCTAGAACACCCACAAGATGGGATCCATACTGTTCATGAGACAAATGGGAGTTTCAGAAAATAGGGGCCCTAGTATAGTACCCTAAATAGTAGGATCCTTATTATAAGGACCCCAAGATAAGGTACCCCTAATTTTCGGAAAGTCCCAAATCCTGCATTAGAATGCAGCATTACCCTAGAGACCCTCATCTGTGGGAATTATGGTCTATTCCTTGCTCTGGGTACTGCAGGGTTTATGTCTCATCAACCGTATCAAGACTCCTAGTAAGGGCCCAAGGTTTCTTATTCAGGCTCTAGGGTTTAGGGTTTAGGGTGCAGGGTTTAGGCTTCAAGGGTTTAGGGTTTAGGGTTTAGGGTTTAGAGTTTAGAGTGCAGGGTTCAGAGTTCTGAAAGCCAAAGGCTGCGGCTTAAGTCCCTCAGTCTCCGAGGGATGTTGATGATAGCTGGGTCCTTCCCTACGTTCGGGTCTCTTGTTAGGTCAACAAATGCTACGGTACTCTTGTAAGAAGGTCCCTAACAAAGACGCTCATTTAGAGAACTGCTTAAATCCGAATCTCGCTATACTTCCCTTCTGCGCCGCAACTTTGAAATCCCTAAGCCAGGGTGTCTGAGAACTGAAAGCCTCCAAAAGAGGGGCCTTCGTACTTAGAGTAGGATCCGTTCGGGCATACTATAGTACACTTATATCCGTAGGATTGGTACATCTTCAGGACAACTAGAGCGGGTAGATTGCTGTACACCTATGTCAATCGTATGGGTAATTCTTCAGGACCCTATGTTCGCCTCGAAGGCTTACCTGACCATGGCATCCGGAAAAAAAAACCCGAAGCCACTCCGCCACGAAACCTTGCCGCAAGACTTATGGTCTAAAGTCCGAGCATCACCCAGCCCATGGCTCCCTCACTACTTGGAGGATCATGGGACTTAGTAACTAGGGTTATAAATAAGCTAAGAGGACTTATAATCACTTATAACCCCAATTAGGGTACTTATAATCATACTTACTAAGTCCCATGATTCTCCAAGTACGCATGGGGGCCGCTTTGAACTCGAGCCCCCGAAACAGGGAGAGCTTGCAACAAGTGGAGGGATCCTCTGAAATGGGGCTCCCCGAATCCAAGGCGCGCCTCATCGGAAAAGGTTGAAAGGATTGGGCACCTCAGGATTCGGAAGCACAGCAGCAGGTAGCAACAATGGTAATCATGTATCTAAGGGTATGGGCCCCTAATATGGACCC